CTGCCCTGACTCACCAGTGTGAGGGCCCTGACTTACCAGTGTGAGGTGAGCTGCCCTGACTCACCAGTGTGAGAAGTACGGCTCTGAGGATGACTGCCCATCTTCCTTGGTATGGCCCTCAGAGCCCCTCAGAATGAATTTTGCATAAACCACATAGGTTATATTTTAAGATATACCATCCTGAGCATACCCTTCAGATTTGGTGAAAATCCGTCTTACGGTTTTTTGAGGAATACAGTAACAGGCAGAAACCATTTTATGTGTATAGATGGCCCTTGGTCAGCAGGTGGGTGCCCCTTGTGGATGTAAACTGCCCACATTGTTTCCCAGTTACAGCTCTGATACGCTTGACATTACAGCTCGGGGATGGGTAGAGTAGCGCACACTGTGCGCCTTTGCTGAAGGAACCCTACCTGGGAGAAGACTGATTTGAGTTCTGGCTGGGATCCCTACTTTGGACAGAAACCTCAGTTTCCTTCTCTACGGAATAGGGGTGATAATGCCGACCATGTTATTCCAGCAGATTCCTGCCAGCATCAGAGGAGACCATTGGGTTTCTTTTTACAAGTTTGAAATGAATTCCTTTGTAACCATACCACAGTTATTATTGGATTAGCTGTATGTTTTGTCCTTTTACTCCTTTGCTGCAGCCTTGGTTCTGTTTAGTCCAGGGCTTTTCCATTCATAAATTTTAGGCAGGGAGATGTGTATTTATTTAAAAAAGGTATATGCCATATGGTATACAGGAGTTCGTTGTACTATTCTTGCAACTTTTTATAAATTTGAATTTTTTTCAAAATAAAATTTAAAAAATCACAGATTTACAAAGCCATCTGTAAACATTAGTATGAAAGTTTTGAACCGTTTTTACATTTCATTCTGATTGACATCTTGAAAGAACATCTCTTTTCTCTGAGGCCTGTAAAAGCCTGGACTATAATAATCAGTGATCCTTTATTTCAGAAACAGAGACTCTGAGCCCCAAACATTTAACCTGTATGGAAATCTGACTTTTAAAATTCTCAAATAATGCCAAGTTCATTGAAAAGATTGTTTCTTTCTAGTTGGTTGAAATGTTGGACATGTCTGTCCCTGCTGTTGCCAAATTGAGACGTCTTTTAGACAGCCTTCCAAGAGAAGCTTTACCAGACATCCTGACATCAATTATCCGGACGAGCAACAAAGAGAAGCTCCAGGTACAGTGTTCCTTCTTGAATGCCAAGTTGCTTTGTCACTTTTTATTTGAATCTAGGTAGTGAAGAGTTAAATTTTGACCTTCAGGAAAGAGATACTGGAAACTCCAAAAAGCAGTTAAAATGCTTTCACACTGAAATTGCCTTTCAAACGTGATTGTTTTACATTTTTGTCTACACAAGAAGGTCTTTTGTTTATACTTTGGTCAATTTATGGAAGAAATTAAAGCAGAGAATCATAAAAATGGTGAGTATTTAACTTAAAATTTAGAAACATACATTGTCTCATGCTTTTTGAAACGTGGAGCCATGACTTTCCCCGTGTGTGGGCCTGGTTTTTTAGATTTCTTCATGTTTCTTCTGTAAACCACACCTACAATGCTGTGATTTTTACTCTCTGTGTCCTTAAAGTTAAATGTGTTTTAAAGACACTTGAAAAATAATGCAAGTGAAGAATCCTAGATTTACATGACTCTCCCCCAAACCATAAAACTATACAAGTTTTCTTATGCACTTATTTTTATAGTATTTTTTAAGCAGTCTGCTTTATCTTCCTAAACTAATTGAAGTTAGTTTTCATTGAAACCACCTTTCTTTTTTTATCAGTTTATTTAATATTCAAATCAGACAACTATAATAGCAAGCACAGCTAATACAAACAGTTTGGGCACAAACAGTGAGAGTTCAGTTCCACTGTTGGGAGCGAGCAGATGAGTACAGGAGTCCTAGAGAGGAACCTGACTGTGGACCTCAGCAAGGAGGTTTTACTTCAGTGTCTCGAACAGATCCTAAGTGGAGGTTGGTTTGACTGCTAAGAGGGTCCCTATTCTGTTGTGTATTTAAAATTTCAGTATTCTGAATCTGTAATTTGCTTACCTGTAATGTGTAAGCACAGTCTGGGCTCTTAAGAGAATAATTCCCAAAAAGAGTTGACATCAGATGTTTGTTTTGTTCTTGTTGATCTTGGAACAATACACGCAGCATCATTTTTAAATGCAAAATCAAGTTACTTTTTTTCTTGTCTTTTTTAGGATTCTGGTATTCATCTAGGGAGCCCTGGTGGTACAGCGGTTAAAGTGCTCAGCTGCTAACTGGAAGGCTGGCAGTTCTAACCCACCAGCTGCCCTGCGGGAGAAAGATGTGGCAGTCTGCTTCTGTAAACATTTACAGCCTTGGAAACCCTGTAAGGCAGTTCTACTCTGTCCTGTAGGGTTGCTGTGAGTCGGAATCGACTCGATGGCAGTGGGTTTGGTTTTGGTTTGGTATTCATCTCAAACAACTTTCCTGATTTAATATAGTTACTTTGGTTCTGTTACCCATAATGTAACAATGAATATTGATAGGAATTGTCTGTTTTACAAAACAGTTTGAGGTCATGGCGTTTGGAGCACGTGTTTCTGAGAGATTCTGTTAATTGACTCATAACGTTCTTAGATTTTAGATGCTGTGAGTCTAGAGGAGCGATTCAAGATGACTATACCATTACTTGTGAGACAAATCGAAGGCCTGAAATTGCTTCAGAAAACCAGAAAACACAAGCAGGATGATGATAAGCGGGTAAAGGTTCCTTTTAATTTGTTCCTTCAGGTTCCCAGTTATTTTTATGTGGTTTGAGAGATCGGTTTTTTTGTTTGTTTGTTTTTGATAAAAATTTGGAGAAGAAAAAAGTTCGTTGTCTCTTACTACTCAAGTTACTATTAAAATTTTGGTGCATTTCCCTCTGGTCCTTTTCTGTGCCTGGGTGTAAAAATGTGGGGGCAGTGTCTGAGCTTCTCTAACTTCATAAGGAGGAAGGAGAACCAAGACTAACAGCCCAAGGCTGATTCCTATGAAGCGGGAATCAGACAAGCTCCCTCTCCACCATCTCTACCAATTCTGACTCCAGCTGTCCTTCCCACAGCACTCTCTACTTCTCTGCTGGGTTGGGTAATTCATTGCAGTGGCCACACAGAACTCAAAGACCATACTCAAGATTATCGGGTTTATTGTAAGGGAAATAACAGTTACAGTTCGGGCCCAGGAACACTCAGGATACAGTTCTTCCATCAGGATAGCCTCTCCCCAACCGTGCTCGCAGGGACGCCTCTCCCTGGCCCTAGGCCTCGCCCCAGAGGCACTTGCTTTCTTTCTCCCTGGGCCAGGAAGCACACTGTGCCAGGTCTCTGCTGTCGGGTCTCTCCTGCTGCCGCTTCTTGCCATCTTTACAGTTATAACTCGCTGTCTGGCTCCTGGCTGTTCTTCCTTGGTGGTGCCAGTATTCTCCTCTCTGCTCTGGAATTGGCTCTCTTCTAAGGCAAAACTGACCAGTCCCCATGGTGGGTCACAATTACCCCATCACACAGTCCTGCCCAGTTACTTGGGTGGGAGTTACAGGACCATGGCTAGAAAGGCCACACACAAAGTAACCCCTCTAGATCATCTTTTTTTTTTTTTTCCTTTTAAACGTGAGCATTCTCTCATTTTTCTTTTGTATTTGTTTTGGTAACCATCCGAGGGTTAATTTACCTAGGCATTTCCCTTTTTGTTAACGTTGGGTGTTGTTCCCAGTATTTTTCATATTTTAAAAACTAGCAAATAACTCTGATGAACTTCTTTGAGTATAACATGTTTTTACTGCGTGGAGTATGAAGAACATGTTGCAAACTTGTTTCCTAAAAGGACTGTGTCACTATGTGGTGTCATAACTAGGCTGCCGTTTTGTTTTTAACTTACAAAAGTTTTAATTTTCGTTTAGTCAAACTGTTAGTCTCTTCCTATCTTCTATGCTTATAGAGTCCATTATCCTCCAGTGGTTTGATTGAAGAATCAAAACAGAAGAGCAGATATCCACTTCGGGTTTTTCTTTAGTTGATTTATTTTTTAAGTGTTTCACTCTTTAACGCATATGTATTTTGTCATGTTAGTGAGGTGAAAGCAGCAGTCTTGTTTTGTCATGTTAGTGAGGTGAAAGCAGCAGTCTTGTTTATTCCCAGATGTTTGTTGTTGGTGGTGGCTGCCATCCAGTCAGCCTTGTACAAATGGATCAGATTGTTGCCCAGTCCTGCACTGTCTCCATGATCGGTTGCAGACCAGACCATTGTGATCTGTAGGGTTTTATTGGCTGATATTCGGAAGTAGAACACCAAACCTTTCTTCCTAGTCTGAAAGCTCCACTGAAACCTGTTCAGCATCATAGCAACACGCAAGCCTCCACTGACTGACTGGTGATGGCTGTGCATGAGGTGCCTTGGCCAGGAGTCAAACCCAGGTCTCCCACCTGGAAAGTGAGATTTCTCCCACTGAACCACCAGTGTCCCCACATTCCCAAGTAGCTTTCTGTTTAAGTTAGCACCATTGATTAAATGATCCTTTCTTTCTTCATTGATTTATGATATCTACTTTATTATATATTGCGTTTCTGTTATCATGGGGTCTCTTTGAAGTGTACCTTGGGCTGCTGAATTTACTGTTGTTATGTTAGGGGAGAGATAAGTATAAGGTGTTTGAAGTGGACAGGACATGAAAATGACAGTTCTCTGTAGGCTACAGGAGATCCAGAACTCTGGCTTAAGTGAAAGGCCAAGAATGATGTCAGAGATTTGAAGGTCATCAGCGCAGAAGTGTTCCTTAATCAAAGGGAATACAGCATTCAGAAAGAAGAGCAAAGACCAAGGATTTCTTCCTCGTGGGACTGACTAGAGAAGGAGCAGTAAAGTAGACTAAGGGAAGTGATGAGAGAGAAGAGGTAGTGATCACCATGCTCCTGTTTACTATTCCTGGGTGCCATGCTGTTGAAAATACACACACACCAGAAGTCTGAATCATTTCTGCCTTGAGGTTAGTTCAGTGACTCAGTTACTCACTTTGTCCTGAAAGGTAAGCTGACAAGCACGCTGCACTGAGAGTCACAGGAGACTGTAGGTCACTGTCGGCGCAGGCCTTCATCATGGGAAAGAAAGGTGTAGACTGTAGGTCACTGTCAGCACAGCCTTCATCATGGGAAAGAAGCTGTAGACTGTAGGTCACTGTCAGCACAGGCCTTCATCATGGGAGAGAAAGGTGTAGACTGTAGGTCACTGTCAGCACAGGCCTTCATCAT